TAGATGCACAACGATCATTGTGAAGGATTTCTGCCAATTTTTGAACATTTTCTTCGACTCGAACTGTCGCTGATGCTCCTGGACGTGGATGCGTCCTTCAATGGCTTCTCTATTGCCATCAACAAAATATTGCATACCACTTTAGAAACGTTTTTACGACTCTTGCTTCACTACCATAAACACTTTGTAATCATGTCAAAAGTTTCTGTGGCACTTTAACCCACTTTGAAACAACAACTTAATGTTCGCACGTTGCTCCATTGCTCATTTCAGCGCCCGAGGTTCAAAAACATACTGGTTAACAGTTTTATTTACTGGCGAGCAGTCTGGTTGCGCATGTTGTTCTTTTTAAAAACGGAAGGTAGTCGAAACACAACACTACTTAATTACTGCATCAGATAACAGATTATGCGATTGGTTCCGCGAATATAAAATCAGTCACGTTTTCTGTGGGACGGACTGTGTATTATAGATGTATTAGATACAACCCTTTCAAATTGTTGTTTATGAAGTTTCACGAAATTTAAAATGTGGAGTATTAGTAAGCTAGAAAATTAACTTGTTCCCACTAAAGTTTTAAAACATGCGCATGTTTACAGCTAATATTTGGGCTAAAATGTATATAAACGTTTGTCTCTCTCTTCTTCTCTGTCTCTCTCTCTCTCTGCTCTCTCTTCTGTCTCTTCTTCTCTCTCTCTGTCTCTCTCTCTCTCTGGGTCCCTTCCCCTCTCTGTCTCTCTCTCTCTCTCTCTCTCTCTCGAAGTTTTGTGTTCTGGATTTATGAAATTAGCTAATTAAAGCGGCGTTGTATTTTATTCTTGCTACTTTCATCATGTGCTTTTGAGCGTTTTTTCGTGGCTCTGTGGCACCACTTGGTTTGTTGCGTTCACTTTGTAGATATCGTGTCTCAGCCACTTGGAGGCTCTCCGTGCGCCTCCTCCGCCCCTCCATCGGCGGCTGCGCCCGGCCTCGGCGCGAGGCGGCGTTCCGGAATTGTTTGTCATTGAGTGCGGAGCGGGGCGCAGTAACATTTGATGCGGCCGTAATGAGGGCTACGTACTCGCAGCGCCTCTCCCTTAGGCGATAAATAGAGAAGGATCACCTTTTATGTGCAGAATAATGTGATCTGGTGAATTGGGTGTTCCTTCTCTTTAGTGCGGGATTGGCTTAGCTCGCTCGGCAGCGTCGGGCGGAGGGGAGCGACGGCCCAGCGCAGATTACGCGCCGTGGAATGAGCGCGTCGAACGCGCGCTTATGCACCTGGCGATGCCGAGATTAGGACTTTTGTGGCGCTTCCCCGGGCGCCTTTTTAATCACTCCATCCACTTAATGAATTTTGCGCGGGACGCGGAGGCGCCCTGCCCGCCCACCCCACCCCACCCCACGCGCATGCGCACCCGCGTGTATTCGGCAGCTTACGCGTCGGGCTGCACGCTGTTTCTTGCCTCTGGGAAGCTTTTGTGACGCGAGGAAGGTTTTTGGCGCAGCCCGTGCTTCCACGAACGCGAATCCCTGCTTCTTGTTGCTGCTGTAACCTTTTGCGCGGCACTCTTTTTCTAATATCTCTGAAGAAGTTTCCATGTTGTTTCTTCTGAACCGTTTTCTACAATGAACTTTTTCTATATCTCCCCTTTTTCTCTCTCTTTCTCATCTGACTCAATGAAGCACCCCTGCTCGAAGATAAACCCCATCTACATGCTAGTGATAAATCTTCGTAGTATACAGCAACCGATAACGCTGTATCCGGACCCCAAAACGAATGTTACTGTCGAAAATTCACGTTTTCTTCCGGAACGTTGCAATTCTTTCTCTATACTGCGCAAATAGTATGCGAGGAAGTAAAATGTTGATAAATATTATGAAATAAATTTCTTATATGAAGTAAATTTCTTCCTCTTACACATTGGTTCTCAGAATCCAGGTATTGTTAGTCCTTGATACCGAACAGTTTGTTGTCATCAACGCGTACCATCTGTGACCAATGCTAACTCCTCCAATTTATCTAAATTGATATTCCCTCATCATATGGCCGATCTCGAGCCCCTGCGAAATTGAAATGGGTATTTTGATTTTTGAAGGTCCTATACACAAAGCCGTAACATTTTGAAAATGTACTAAAAATGGCCCCAATTTTTTAATGAAAGTTTTAACTTACATAGAACAAAGGACGTTTCCAAAAACGGCACTGGTCTCAGTTTCCTTGTACAGAAACTTCCGGAAATTGCCAAAAAATTAACATTGAAAAATTTCAGTATTTACAATAGAGATGTTTCTTAATGATATGATATTAAATATACATCTGTAAATGAGGGCATATGCAATGTTCCGTAGAAGACTAGTGTTCACATAATGTTTGCTTGAATTAAAAGCAACTTGTAAAAAAATCTCGAAAACGACTGTAATTTTTTCTTTAAATTTTTCTCAGAGACGCTTAAGAAATGTCACAGTTCTCATTTTCGTTCAACTCCCTGAGAGTTGGAAAATTGCAAAAGTTAGAATTAATGTCCGAATGTACGTGCTGTTATAGAATCATTAGTTTTCTTCAGTTGTGTCTATGTTGCCTCTCAAAGAGCACTGGCGTGCGATAGACATTTTAGTTTTTAGTGAACTGTTAATGGGATTTTGCCTCTCAGTGTTGTCAAACATATTCCAGCCCCTTGTATCCTGCTCCTAATTTCAATGCCGATCTCCTTAACTCTTCCGATTCTAATATCTTCAGTCACACTAGAAAGGCTTGTTCCCTACTTTTTTACAGCCCCAGTTGTACCAACTCAACACATCGCGTAGAGCCGGGTTCAGTTGCGACCGCTTTCGTCGACGAGGCCAGCGCGTCGAGACGCCTTCGTCCGGAATGCGAGATACGGAGCTGCCCTCATCGAAGCGAACAATGACAGTAATTGGCTCAACGAAACTCTCGCCCTCGTTTAATGCTCAAGCATTTTAGTTAATTATTTTAAATTAATTATGCATTCTACAGTCGATTCATTCAATGAACCAATTAGAAAAATCGTAAATTTGAAGCATATAATTAAACAATAGTTGATGCATTTAATTTCTTTAACATATAATTTGATATAGCTTGATGCCATCCGAGCTTTTACATTTTTGCTTATATTTAATACTTCAAGAAAAATTTTATGCTTACAATAATCGTAATTATTACAGAGTAAACACGGGAAGACACGATATCTTCAATGTTATCATTAAGTCTTTTTATAAACAATAGGATTGAGAATAAAATAATTTTCGAAATAATCTGTCTTTTTACTCATCAGAATAAGCAGGATTGTTGTGCCATTTGCAAAAATGTGAAGACATGAAAACGATGTAATTAAATTTTTAATAGTAGACCTCATAGAACTGCTATTAGGATGAATGTGATTAGTGTTGTTTTGATGTTTACCCATTCATAACGATGAATATTCAGTTTAATAGAATTGGATAATATATTTTATCTTTTTAAAAGTCAAGACGACGTGTCTGTTGAACGTCTTAACTGGACCTCCTGGTTATTGAAATAAGGTCATTTCAACATTAGTCATTCGAAAGTACTGAAAATTATGTCGCCATAAAATGTACGGAAGTATTGAACATGTCAGCTTTTGGTCCTTGACAATTTGGATGTCATAAATTCACCGCAGCTTTAATTCAGAAAGTACTCGTATTTTAGCTAGTCATGACAGTTTTCGCGTGTGAGTGGCGTTTAGGTGTACGTGAATTGCCCCTTCCCCCTCTGGCACAGGCAACCCGCAGTGCACAGAAGTATTATTCCTAAGAGACGTGCATACCTTACGCCTGGAGATCGGGTTCTTGCGCGCGCCCAAGGTCTTCGAATTTATTGTGCCACAAGTTAGTTCATTAGTATTAGGATTTATTTGTGGGCCAGACGGGCGCGATTTGACCCTCAATCTTTAAGTTCATTAAATCTACTAGTAGTTGTATTTTTCAAGAATGAATGTTAATGAAAATTGAATCCACTACGATGTATACAAAATTTTGAGGTAATATCAATTTAATGCTCGCCGTTGTCATTCCTGAGGTGAACTCGTAACATTTTGTGAAACATAAAAGAGTATTGATAGCAGTAATGAAAGGAAAATTTGCAAATACTGAAATAATATTTTATCTGAACGTGCTTTGAACCAACCAGTAAGGAATGACCGCATTACTAAAGCAATGGAAAATAATATTGCTACCAATTATGTTTGTGCTGTAGTTTTTATTAATATTACTATTAAAATAAAATATGTGGTGTATGCACGTTTGTTTTAACGTCTGTTTCATCGAAATGGACATTTTTACGTATGTGGTAAACATTATTCCCTTTGAGCGTTTTGAGTGTACCTTTTTTGTTGATTCTGGGAAACTTTCTTGTGAAATTATAGTGTCATATACTACATATATGGAATGTGAATGTCTACTATATTTTTCACGTACATACTATACTTAACGTTTATCACAATGACAAAGGAAATTTTGATGAGAACCCTTGATGAAGAAAAAGAGGAGACAAAATGTTTTTTTCACTATAATGAAAGAAGACAAAAGTCAAAATAAAAGTTACTCTCTGAATAGATAAACATTCTTCGAAAAAAGTAAAAACACGACGTGAACTGGGTCGATGAGCGAGGGAGTCACTATGGTAACTACGCAAACGTGTGTCTGTGTGTTTGAGAGAGAGAGAGGAGAGTATATGAGAGTGATACTACAAGTACTTGTATATCTGCGGAAACATAGAAACCCTTAGTGGAGGATAAATCAAAGTACAAAGAGGTTGCTTCGGAATATATCTCCTAGAAATTCAGCTACGATTCTTTTGCACGATACAAGCATGCCAAGGGGCTTTGAGAATTTTGAAGCCCCGTATCTTGGATAGTGGAAATCAGTGCGCTTGTGTCGCGGGTGTCAGCCCGTGGAGTCATTTCCGAGGGCTGGTACAAACCGATAGTAAGAGTGGAGAGGGTAGAAGAGACGACGCTTCGGGAAGCAAGAAACCGGAAATGAAGTGCGCGAGATCGAAGACCGGGCCGAGAAGAAACCTAGTGGTGACAGTGGTCAGCGCCGCACGGGAAAACGGAGGTGCGGAGAGCAAAGAGCGCCTGGGCGACGCGGGGCGCGGGCAGGCAGCGGCCACAGCGGCCGAGGAGCCGCCTAATGCAGAGCTTTCACCTGCGCTCGTGCCTCGGGGCGTGGCGAGTACTGCAAAGCTGCTTACGCTCAATCTTCACACAGAGCGCTCGCGCGCCGCCCCTCTCTCGCCCAGTGACCTCAGGTAAACCCTCGGACAAACGCCCTCTGCCGCCACCGCTGCTTCAGGGCTTACCCCGAGACATATCTCAAAACTAGAATCTGGAGTTATTTTCTCGAATCGATGTTCAAGGGTACAAACAAATTCATTCTCATGCGTCTTATTTTTTTCAGACCAAAAATTGAATTAGAGATTTAGAAAATTGATTTAAGAACCATTAGAGCAGGTTTGGGTCTATTTCTGAAGAAAAATACTTAGTTTGAGTTGCAAGTGTTCTTTAGATGGATGTCGCAATCGCTTCTGGTTAGAACCTGAAGAACCTCGCCTTGAATATGCCGATATGCCGCTATCTTCTATACTAATACTTAGCATATTTCTTCTTTTGCAGACTATTCTGTCTTGTTTTGTCTGTTGGCGACTGATGGCCTTGCGTTAGTTCATCTTTCATCTTAGCTAATATCTCAGGAACTTGCTCCCACCGGAGGATTTTGCCTTGTAATTATTTTTGGCGAGGATTAAAATTCCAATAGCTCCTTACAACCTGTGCTGCTCGCCTTCACTTCGATTCCTATCACCTTTCGGTGTAGGCGCAACTGGTTAGCTGACACCACTTTGAAAAGTCTGTTTTGATAGTACCCTTCAGTAGCTCTATCCGATCTTCCATGTCATTTGAGATATTCCTTCGAAGAGTCATGGTATTGCAACGCTGGGAAATAACTTAGCGGTGTTCTCTTCACGGCCAGGATCAACATTTCTCTGGATGCCAGGATCTTGTTGCACATCACACACCGGAATCCCTGAACCTCGTAAGAACTGCAACAAAAACAATAATAATATTATTCGAATTATTATTATTCGATATTTCACCTCTCTCTTCATGCTTTGTTTTGTAGAATTTTCTTTTACAGAACTTATCTTCATGTGTTTCGTTCTCGCCCCACATCTGGTCTTTTTCGCTTCTTTCCGAACGAGAACTCCTTAACTCGTGGAACTTCCTGCCCGTTGACCCTTCACCCCTTCCCCATCCCCCACCCCCACCCGCGCCGTCCCGTGTATCGGAAGTTCTCTGGTGCACGTTGTAGCGCGCAGCCAGCCATCAGATAACATTTCGCCTTTTGTGAGGACGTGTCCGCCATGCATATGGATGCTAGCCACAGCGGCGGGCGGCTCCATTCTCAGGTTTGAGTAACCCCTCAGCTCCTCGGCTGTACACGAAGCGGAGGGCGCCACGGAACCGGATGGCTTCCCTCGCAATATTGGAGGTCGGTTTACGTTTACAGGATACACTAAGGCCCAAAGGACTTTTTCTGCCGTAACCAGTAAAATGATAATGATCTGAAGATAAAATATTAGGATGGTTGGGAACACCACCCAAGCTTACTTTCTCGAGCCAGAGTTCTTGAGACATTTAATTACCGATTGTATTTTAAAGTTATGCTAATAGTGCAGTTGTAATTTTAGTGACTATAACGAGTCCATATTGCGAAATATGGACTCATGACATGTTTTACTTTCATCAAATTTACTAATCGGGGAATATATTTCCAGAGTGAAAACGTGTGTCATGTTATGAATCGCATACAAATGGATGGGCTCCAATGCATTGCATATTAAAGGGTTCTGACGAAAGTATATTCTTCGATTTATGTATAAACAACTGCTTGTGCGAGGGTCTCCGTGAAACATGTCGCAGTCTTCTTTCTCAGATATATCGTGTCAGTTGTGTAAATCGAAGTATCTGAGAATGCATTATTCCGTGAAGTTAATGTTAATACTACTGCTATTTCCACCATCTTAATATAAAAACTTACTGTGACAGAAGAAGGGTACGTTTACGTCGTTACAACCGTTTTTCTTGAGAAGTTGAAAATTGACTTGACCTGAAAGTGGTATCGGAAGAAAGGTCTCTTTCTAATGACGAGTCAGGAAACTGACAGAGATGGCTCAGGGCATGAACTGATGTCACTGCAGTCCCTCTGAGGGTCCTCTGAGGGCCCTCTGAGGGTCCTCCCAGGTCCTAGTTTCGAGTCCCGACGGTAGCAGGATTTTCAGTCGCAATCTGGAGGAGAATTCTAGCGACTGGCTGCTCTCATCAGTAGTTTTCCATTGGTTTTTACGATCAACACCAGGCGAATACCGTAGCAGTACCCTACGAAGCGGGCCACGGACCGCTCGCGATCTCACCTTCCTTGTCCTATCCCCACCCGTTACACGCACACACACTAACACGAACTAACTCGCACTACAGTACCACACATGCCGGGAGACCCGACGCCAGCCAGCTAAGAGCTTGTCCCGGCTGGTCGCAGATCTCGCCATACAGCCTGGGAAAGATCACCGCCACCTCCCGAGCAAAAATCATGCATTGCGCTTACGGGACTAATACCCCTGGTAGTTGACGTGCTCGGACTCGCTAATCAATCGATTAATGTTCGTACAACAAAGTGAGAATCCGCTGTTATATCGGACAGTGGCAGTGATAAATAAATGTGCACAGCATGCTCTCCCTAATGATATTAATGCAGACGAGCAAGTTATGATGAATGATAGAGTTTAATACTAAACCTTAGTTTGATAATTCTTGCAGAAATGCCTATTAGCAAAAGAAAACGAAAGCTGAAACAATATTACCGGCAGAAACAACAGAATTAGCGAAATGGCGTAGGTCGCATTTTCATTGAACATCTGAATGTTCGAAAATTACAAACGTTTAAAAATGTATCGGCTTCTTCCTTTCAGTACAATAATACAGATAGAATTTATCATTAATGAAAACTGTTCATCAAAGCAGATTTTCAAGAAAAGGTCAAGTTCAATTTTTCGAAAATAAGTAATTTTTATATATTTTTTCGTGAAACATAGACACCTTTTAACGATGTTTAAACCTTTAATATTTCAAAAATGTCTCTTATTTGTTCTTGGTACGTAGCAAATAACGATAAGGAAAGTAGTGCTGATCCCATTTTTGGCGAACATTCTGTATTTTCGAAAATTGCACATTAGAAACTGAGAATTCACAATTTCCCGCGTTTCGTTTGCCGCTGTCCATTCGCAAAATGGCAACACGGCGGTTGCAAGTCATTCAGATGCTTCGCAATGCTGTCGGCCGTGATGATCGTATTATACAGTTAATATTCTTATATAAGGAAACAGTTTACTTATAGTTTTAACTCGTAACTAATAAATACACTTCCTTTACTTAAAGTTTTGATGGGTATTCAAAATTCGAAGCTTACTTCTACGTAATTTAGGCAAACTTCCGTGAAATTATGCTTGATTTGGTCTGTGTGTGTTCCAGTTATTGTTACAAAATTATCCAGGTTTGTTTTATTAAAAAAAATAAGAAATGACTACTGTTCCACTATGCTTCGCTTGAATTTGACTTTTTCAAGTTATACCCGCGATGTTAATAGGGCAGAAATGAAAATATTTCAATATTTTAGTTAGTCAATATTCAGTTACAACTGCCTTTAATAACGTGAGAACGTATGTTCTGTTGTAGAATCCCCGGTTTAATAATGTAGAAGTGAATGGTTCAGGAACGAGTACGTGAAAAAACTTCAAAAAATTAAATAAAATGGTTTGGATGCACCATTGCGTAGATATGTAAAATCGATAACAGCTGTATATTAAAAGAATTAGTAAAGGTCTATTATAAATGAATAGCATTTTCTCTTTACGTCTGTCAAAAAAAACTCTTGCTGTCGTCCAATATTTTGTTTCATTTTAGTCGAATCATGAAATAATTCTATTTGTTGCATCCTAACGGTGCAACGTAAAAGGTGCTAACATCATTTTTACGGTTGTTGTTTTCGGCTGTGCATTACTGAAACTCTACACACGGGAAAATGAGGTATTTTTTAAAATCCTTTTTTGATTTTATTGCCGTGTAAACTATTGGACGATGCGCGGACGAAAACTGTTGAAATGTGTGAAAATGTGTTTCGAAGAGTGTCTTCACGGGTTTGGAAGTAAGTTTTATAACATTTTCAACATTTACAACATTTTTATCTTCTTTATACTTCCCTCAAATGTAAATGTTCTTCGCTGTATTTTATACGAAGCCACAATGTGGGTGTGGCATCGTGATTACTTAATTTCTTCATAATGTTTCAGTTTAAGCATCCAATTTCTACTACGTTCGTGTGTTTATAAGAGGTGGAGATTTGTTGGTTAATTGAAGAGAAGCTTTTAGAGACTTTTTCCACATTAAAACTGTTTATGTGATTTATTTTTTATTTTTTTAAAATTTTGATACATTCATATTACAGTTATTTTCTAAATGTTTAATTATTACGTAGAAGACAATTTACAAATAATGAAATATCTTCTGCTTGCTCCTATTTCTTTCAACTTGTCTTTGTTTTATTAAAATGTCGCACATTTTTCTGCCCTCTTAAATATGTTTATGCTACTCTTTACAAGTGATGTAAAGCTGGAGTGAAGAGGTGCTTATTATTTGTGTATTTCATCTTTGAAATGTACCAAGTATCTGCTTGGCTACGGGGTGGTCCTGTGACAGCGAGCGTGCGTGGGCGTGGAGGCGCGTCTCCGGCGCGTGGGCGAGCAGCCACTGAGCGGGCGATTAGCCCAGTCTGCTCCTCGCCCGGCGTTGTTTTCACGTAATCGCTTGCAATTAGAAGGGAACTGAAATCCGTAATTGAAGTGATTAAGTCCGAGGGCGTGCGAGGAAGCGCCCGGGGCCCGGCGGCCGCCGCAGGGCAGACGGCTTCGTGTCTCCGTCTCTCGCCGTTAATTATTTACTCGCGCCCGCCGCCCGATTCTCTGCGTTGCTGCCCCTCCTCACCTCCTCTCTTGCTTTTCGGAATATTCGTCGTAGATGGCTAATGTGCAATCGCCATTTACCTTTTATTTGCTCGTTCTACATGAAGGGAATGCTTCGTCGCGTGTGAGCCGTGCGCCTTCCCCGCCTGAGTTGCCGGCGCAGAGGGCGGAGGGCGACGCGGGGGCAGCGCGGCCGACGCGCCCGGGGGTCGCGCTAGCACTAGGCAAACGTTATCACGCCCTTTCCAAGACGTCATTCCGTTAATCTACTGAGGGCCTGGAAGTGGCTGAGGGACAGGCGTAGGAAGAAAGGAGAGAAAATGATCGGGTCGGCTCTGATCTAATCGTTGAACTTCCGTTAAGGGAGGTCATCCGAATTTTTGTAGAATATTGTTTATGAATATTCCTCTGCGTGCTTTGATGGCAAACTTTTGTTCCGGATCTTTTATCGCAATTCTTGACGAATTCTAGAAGCTGATACTGAATTTACCTAAAAAGAAAAAAATACTACGTAAAAATACTATAAAAACCTTTTTACATTTTATTCTTTTTAATATATTAATTTAAATTACCACTGGGAACACACGGAACTTGGATTAATTTTCGAAACTTCATATTATTTTGTGTTTCCTTGAGCCCTTTATCCTCATTTACTTTTTTCTATCCCCAAGGCGATCATCCTGAATCTTTCCAAGACTCATTGAGAACAATTTCCTAGACACGGTGAGATTCTAGTACATTATTATAATAGACAACTTCTTAGTAGGCCCATTCGGAAGAATGTTCTTATCAAGCGGAGATACTCATATTTTCATATAGAACTATACTTATAACTTGTCTACTTGACGTTGCGTTTGCATTTGGATCTATTTCATTTTATTAATAATTCATTATTTTTATCAGAAATGACTAATAATTACTGTTGTACGAGCCCTTGTGGAAAACGATGTTTACTCGATGTTTCTGGAACCCTCTGTCGGTCTTTTCATCCCTGACCGAATACCCGTTGTGGGCCGTCTCCTAAAGCGTGATGTATTGCATTTCATTTTCTGGGATGTGTGGATAGAACCGAATAACCATCGTTTGCAGCTTTTGTAGTAGCAGAGGAAATAGAGGAAATTGACAATTGCGTCTTGTATATTATTTCCGTTGGTGTGTTGTGTTTTGTAATTGTCACGTGGTTTGTGTGTTTTGGTTCGTTAGCTTCCTGTTGTAAATAAGCTCTTCAGTACTTCTAATTTGCGCGTGTCTGTACATCTTGATTCTGGAAGCAGATTCGATATGTGTTAAGATGTTTTACGTGAAGGTAACTGAATATTATAATGGCCGGTAATAGCGAGAGGGTGGCAACGTATGAACTCACGTGTTTACGAACAGATAGTATGTCGAGCGCTCGCGGCAGAGTGTTGCCAGAAATTTACCGTCAGTCGATCCGCTTATTCGCGCAAGTGGATGTTATAATTGGAACGAGATTACGGCAGGTTGGTGTATCAGGAGCAGGAGGAATTGTTGAGATGTGGATTCCGCCGTTAATTTTACGAAGTTTGATTCCGTTTTTGAAAAGGAATAGGAAAACAGGAAATGTGACCTTCAGCGCTTATGGAGGCGAATGTGTTTGGCGTTGGGAAACTGACAGGATATACGATACTCGCGAGATCATTTTCGCATCTGTTACTGTTCAGAAAACCTAATTGTGAACTTTATAACTTTACTAATCTTCCTTCGAAAGACTGACCTAGTTTCCTTACTGAGTGCTCCAATTCTTTTCGAGGTTTATAGATACTGAAGATACAGACAAGAAATAATTACGAAGTATGTATTTGTAGGGAAGTATTTGGAAGCGTATGGAAATGTTCGCAATTCCAGGGCGAATATTAGGAGAGCTTTGCTCTCTCGAAGCCTTGGGGGGAACTACATGCATTTCGCTCTCATCCGACCGCGCTCCCTGCACAGCAGCCGTTCGCTCTGTTTGGACCCTTCGCCCCCCCCCTCCCCTCGCGCTACGACCCTGCCCGCTTCTGGCGACTGCCACTGCCACTGCCCGCGAACCGCTCTCGCGGCCCGGCCCGGCACGACGAGGCGCGACGCGATGCGGCCTGGGGCAGGCAGCGCGCCAGGTAAGGAGGGCCGTCCTCGGGGCCTCCGCTGGAAATTTCATTGTATTGTCGCCCGTGTTTGCCCTGGCTCTGCTCATTTAATTAATGAGAGCGAGCGCCCGCGCTGGCATTGTCCGTCTGCGAGCGGGAGGGGCGGCTTGCGATATGGCTTCAACTTGCGCGGAGCGCGTTGGCGACGCTATCTTCTAGCTGATTGACGAGTCTTGACTTTTCTAGCGACATAATGTTGAATTGTGCAGAAGATGCACCACGTCTTACCATATTGCATACCGTCAGAAGTTAATCTGTAAGCTCAACCGTATAGCTGCGGTTTAGGTCTGTGCTTCTTTATTGTACATAATGTTTATTTGGGCGAACATTTTTTTCTTTCGCTCTTTTAATTATATTTTTGTCTAAGCTTGGCACTCAACCAAGTAGTGATTTGAGTTTTCAGTGAAAGATATTGGGCCCCATAAGTTTTATCACTGGCTATTATTTACCAGTTTTATAGCATGAACACTGAGTTTGAATGAAATTATAAAATTAAGAGAATGGATGATGAATGCTTATGTTCAGTCTTTTTTAATTATTTCATTGTGTGAGTTGTAATCGATTTATTGAAAGCATTCCAAAAAGTATTTTTAAAAACTAGAACTTGTAGGTAAATGTAAAACGCAATGTCCAGAAATCGTCTCACACGTGTTCTTTCACAAAACACAGTGATTACAATTATATATATATATTAATATATATATATATATTAATATATATGTTGCTTTTCTTTTTAAGGGATGGTGAACAGTAGGATTTCTTTAAATATTTCCCATCAAAGAGACATGTACTAATGTTCGTAAAAATATAACACTTCAGTTCCAATTTCAGAAACATGTGAACTCTTGTATTCAGGGTGAATAGTGCTTGTATTATTCCAGAATGTGTAAATCTTCTTTTCATTCACGTTTGAGTCTGAATACCGAACGTAATTGTACAATGTTTTGGGGGTTTTCAGTTTTGTAGTGAATATGTATAAAGTTTTCTACAGCCACTTCTCTTATTAATTTTCGGCATCGATCGATTCAACCCAAACTTTTAAGATATTTTTCAACTTTCGAACCCGTTTTCCATCCACTGATTTTTGTTAATACTTAGTAGTAGTAAAAAATAATCACTAACTGAAAGTAACCGTAGGTCATCCAATACGTAAGTCTCCCTATTTCGTGGGCAGAATGCGCATGACGACGAGCGGAGCGGCAGGCGCGTTGCCGCTACGGGTAATGCATTTCGGACTGTGATGGACGACGATCAACGCGTCAGCAGTGATGGCATAACGATTCGATTGCCTCCTGCTATGGAAATTGGATGCTCCTCTATTGGGACGCTCCTGGCAGGATTGAGACAGCTTAGTTTGCTTACTGATTCTCACATGCGAGCGTCCTGGTCTGCTGTCTCGGAAGGTGTTGCTCGTTCATGGCAACGCGCGCCCCCGTGCAGCTCCAAGGAGTTGGTTTTTCTGCACAATTTCAAATGGGACTTGCATCCCCATCCCCCTTATTCTCTGGACGTTGCCTCCCAGTGACAGTCTCTTCCGTCTCTTTCCACACCTCTAGTTGCACCTTAAGAGGCAAGCAGTTTGAGACTGATATAGGAAGGAAGAGGAGGTAGCCACTTGCTACGGCGACAGACGTAACCTGATGTGAGACGGGTATCAAGAAATTGCTGACAGGATGCAAGAAGTGTTTGGACAGAATTGGTGACTATTGTATGGTTTGAATCGAAACCAGAGCTTTTGAGTTATCCGTGCACTTTGTTACGTGCAAAGCAAAAAATAGAGATATATTTGGAAGAACCTTAGCAAGATATGGTGAGGAATTCATGTACATCACGGGATTCCAAACCCACTGCCCACTGCTAGGTGTAAGGCGCACTTGTCGGAAATGCCGTGAGCCTCTCGTCCAGGACTGGAAGGGAGAGCGTTGGAAGTGGCAAGCGCCGCCGCCAAGGCGCTCTTCCAATCGCCAGCCATCAACTATATCCCCAGGCCGTCGTACATGTTCAAGTATGGTAGTACATGCGAAAGTTAAATTTGTTACTTGATGAACATGACTCACTGACTTGTTTTGTGATGAGGGCTAGAGGAAAAGGGTATTTTAAAAAAATGAATATAAATCACTGATGTTCATTATTTGCGCAAACTAAAATTCATGCAATGGTATCAAGTTAATACATGGTGGGTGCAAAGACCCCTGATGATGTTTTAAGGTTTCAAACTCATAATCATTTCCATTCCTATGGTTGGGTAATAAGTAACCAATACGTAACCGACAAATAAATTCCAACATAAGTTTTAATTTTTGCGTAAGTTTATTTTGTACTCGTGTTGTCTTTGTGTATTTGTTATGATGAAATTGGAGTCGTCAATAGTATTGTCGCGCCATTATGTATTTTATTATCAATTTATTTTGTTTTAGTACTTGTTTGTATGCGTTTGCTGTCATTAAATTATATTTTTTCAGTAAATATATACTTCATAAAATGTTTAGTTTTATTTTATTTGAAATGATTTTAAAAAAATCAATAAATCATTAAATATTTTTACCTTTTTTCTTCCTTTAAAGACGTGTCTCTTACGTGTCTCTTAATGTGTGTGTTTTTTTTAACTGGGACTAATACAGTGAACTCTGTTTGTGATTTGTTTTTGCCTTGAAAGTTTTAACTGCATTAAAACGACCTTTTATTGTTTGTGTTTGTAGGCATGGAAGCCATCATGTCGGAGTTTTTCAACGATACGACGACGGCGTTCTACATCATCTTAATCGTCTGGATCGCCGACCAATACGACGCCATTTGCTGCCATACGTCCATCACGAAGCGCCATTGGCTGAGGTGAGTGGCGCCGGGTCTTGTTCGACAACTCTTCGATGCGAGCAGTGCGTTTCGTGAAGGCGCGCGCGCAGGGCCCGTGCTCTCGCAGTGCGCAGGCGCCCGCGCTTTGTGCGCTCCGCGTCCCTTTTGTGCACATCCTCCACAATAGAACCCCATCCCCGACATTCACGGCAACGCGTTTGCGAAAAAAGTGTATATATATCCCGCATATTTCCGGGCTTTAAACAGTCGCCAGTTAGCGACTGCGGCCGGGCAACACGGAGTTGCGCGTTCGGAACTTTGGCGCGGGGCGTTTTGGCCGCGCGCGAGCATTGTTCGGATTCGCGGCTGCGGCGGGGGCGGGCTGCGGGGCGGGGCGGAGGCGAGGGCGCGTGCGCGCGCACACGTAGATAAATTAGCGTGTGCCCGGACATGTGGCTCATATTGCGCGGGACAATGGCGCGCCGCTGTACGCGAGCGTTCATTACTGTAGCTGTAGCTTAAACATCTCAACATGCTTCGCGGAGGAGTCTCCGCAGCTGAGGGAGTCTAATAAACGAGGAGGCTCTCGCTCGCCCTCCCCGCCCCGCCCCGCCGCGCCCCGCCCCCGCCCCGCGCCTGTGTCGACACCGTGTTCCGGCGCGCCCCGCGCGCCGCCGCTTCTTCTTCTCATGATCGAACCGGGCCTTCCACCCGCAGGAGCGGTGCGCGCTGTAAGCGTCGCGTGGAAGGAGCGAGGAGTGAGAGTTCAAATCGACCTGAATAGAAATTTCGTGCAGCCTTATCTTGCGGCAGGTGCTGTGGGAGTGAGGAATGAAACGGTCGTGCGAATAATTGTAAGATGATGCTTGAGTATTCATTGATGAGTGCAGGTGTTTGCTAGGCCAGTCTCATATTGCTATCAATTTCTAGTAAATTCCGTCACTTCGTATGGGCTAAACTCGCTTAAAATTTCGCCATTCATTATTAATGTGCATATTATGAACATTTCGGATTCTTCTATTTTATCCTTGAGTGTAATGTCTTTGGAGCATATAGTATTGAATCTCATTTCACGAACAGCTGTAATACGTACGGCAGTTGGCATAATTTGGTTGCGGAAGACGTCCCTCGGTCTATAAAGCAGGCGAATTATATTCACAGCGCGCTTGCGTTGAGAGCGGCGCTTCCTGGCGGACGGCGGCGGCGAAGGAGCAACTGAGAGGAGCGCTGGCAGGGTGGCGTTGGCTGTAGCCACGGATTGCACCGGCAGAGGCCTTTGGTGATGGCCAATTTCCAGACGAGCACAACTGAGTTTCTTCGTGAGATCGCTTGAGTCTCATTAGGAGATACGGTGTTATAATGTCGATTGCTACAAGGTAAATTAGAGTTCCCTTATTCCATCAACCATTGGAATAAAAGCTAGGGTGCACTATTTTCACCTTCAGCTGGTACGGAAACAACAGTAAGATATGCTGACTCGAGTTGGGTGTGAAGCGCGACGGAGACAGTTTTTGCGAGGTTAAGGGAGGGAAGATATTAAGGCAGATAAGTAGAATTCGGCGTATGCCGTGATGGAGTGAGCGGTGCGAGATGTAGCCCTTGCAGGGGGAGCGCGGCGGCGCAGGGGCGGGCGGGCACGGGAGAGGAAGTATGCGCTGGCCGGCAGCCGATTCGCAATTAGCGACCGGACTCTCAGCGCCCCTCAGCGCCCGTCCTTTAATTGGGGCGACGACGAGCGTAAACAGCGACAGGTGCGCAAACTCGCGGGGAATGCGCCTTGTGCCGAGGCAGGGGTTATTGCGGGGGCGGCCCCTGGCGCCGACGACTGTCGTAATGCGCTCAAAGAGGACGCGCTGCGCGGACCCGACGGCTGGAATGCTGCTCAAGGGAACATTCATAGAGAAGCACACGCGTTGCGGCCAAGAAGTGGCGCTGTGCTGTTTGATTTTCACATATATCCTAAAAGGAAAGAAACTACATGGCATTGCTGAGTCAAAGTCCGTACTTATTAGTAGGACGCAAATCGTGTGCTTAACAGTTTGTCGCAGAATGACCGTCCGTTCTGCGATCGTGCTCTTCCATCTGCTCGCCTGTCTGTCCCTTCTTCCTATCTTCCGTCAGTCCGTCCGTCTATCCATTCGGAGTCCGTCCGCCCTGTGGATGAAAAGGATTAGTAAAAAGTCATTCAATTTCATATACATATCTTTTTAAATCCTCGAAAAAAAATTTTATTACTATTTTTGTATTCGTGGATTTTCAAGAAATTGTTTATTTCTGAGCGTGTAGGATGAAGATTTTAAGGTTGTACAAACTATCTGACAGTGTGCAACTTTGAAAAGATCACGTATATTCTCTAAAACATGATGAAGATTTATTATTGCAGACCTGCAGGGCAAACTGGGGCCAAGTGATCACGGTTAAGTGGTCACCCCATGTTGTCTCGACAACTATTGCCTTGTCATCTGTGGCCACTGATAGTGTAAATGTCCCATCAAGTGAGTATATCACTGACGAACTTCCAATTCATTTGTCTCAACACATGTACTAATTATGACGGCAAACGTGTTTGGGGCGTGAAAAGGAAAAACTAACTCTCCTCTAAATGTTATACTAACATTTTTTCCATTTAACATTTCATGTGAGTGAAAGTGAACGGTGAATGGTTCTGAACACACAGCAGTCTTCAAATACAGACGTTAATATTTTCAATTCTGTGAATAGATTATCATTAATGCATATTTGGTCGCAAATCGGCCACAAAGCGTCTGAGGTAAAACCGTCTTAATGAATTCCGTCTTCATCCCAGGCAAATTGTATATTAGATACTTGGAGCGTCGGACATTGTAAGAATCTGATTTTTTGCGTCTAATGTAAAGCACAATTACGCAGTTGAAATTTATGAGATCATGATATTCGCAATCTTTGAAGTGTTCGATTCAGTAAATTGTCGTATCCTTATTGGAAGAATATGTCCATCGCACGTTGAACAGCCTCAAATCTAAAATGTATTATGCGATTATCTTTATTTGGAAGTTCTTAATATTCTATCAATATAGGATAATCAAAAGAAATTTTTTTTACACGGCATCACATTTGCGTGGTTCAACATATGACAAGATAATTGGAACTTTACAGTGAAGGGAATCTCTCTCCATTGCAGACATTCTTTCAGTCGTTTGATTTGCAAACGCGTATCCCCCGTTCGTGGGCATTCGCTCCTCATCATTTATTTTCAGCCATTTGTACGTGTGAGTAGGAAGTCGCTCGTTGCAGATGGACTTTGACAGAGGGTGGGCGAGTCGAAGAGCGCTTCTTTCCGCTCTCGTTGAACATCTCATCTCCAGCGCTCTCGACTCTGCTCTCGCGTGACGGCGCGCTCAGGCGACTCGGCGGGGGCGCCGGTGCGAAGGGCCAACTGCCGACAGAGCACCCCGGCCGCGCAGATGACAGTCATTTTCGAACACAGTTTACCCAGGTCTCCATTTTGGAAAAGAGATTCGTTTTTGTCGTTGTTTAGAAGCTGTGGTACGTTTTGCTCTCTTCTTTCTTCATCTGGTTGTAGGTAAAACATCACAGAGGACGGTACTAATATGTGAGGTGCAATTCGATGTCTTCTGCGAAAAGATATATTTTGCTTTGAACAGTTTTTCAGGCTTTGCGCTCTTGAATCTAATACTTCGAAGCATAATTTATATGGATTGGAATATTTGTATTTCACTTTTTAGGGCGTGGTCAAGCTGAGGAAAATGATATTGTAGATTGCTGTGAGGTGTCTCAAAACGTTTTTATTGTAAGGTTTGGAATGAAGGTGTATAATTTTGTAAAAAATAACGAATGACTTGAAGAGCAACATAGTCAATTGTTCAGGAAGGGCGACGTAAATATGCATGTCATATTCCTGTTTCTGCAAACAACTTGTGTAGATTTACGAGTAAGTGCTTATTTTATAAATGCTGCATATAAGTTTAAGATGTAAATAGCTACTTAGCAGAAATAAGGGAAATAATGTTGGTAGGTTTCGTCTTTTTTGTGTAGTTAAGAGCTTTGATAATCGATTTCCAGGAAGGTCGATGATGACAATCCGGAGAAGCCTCTTCGCGGTGGCTCCACCGCCCACTAGTGAAGTGACTTTTCGGAGGGGAACCCACTGTGCGGTGCCGTGCGGTCGCCTCGGCGGCGCCGGGGGCGGAGACCCACTTGGGTTGGGCGGGGGTGGAGGGGATGCGGGCAGACAGGCGCCCGCCCCGCCACGAGAGAGGCCTCGCGCCGCGGCGCCGGGCACGTGCTGCGGGTGGAGCGGGGCGGCGGCGGGCGGGACCTTTTTCCTGCCGCCGGCGCTGGGGCCGGGACGGGCCGGGACGGGGCGGGGCGGAGAGGGCAGGCGAGAGGGGCGGCGGCGCCCCCACCCCGGCGTAGGGCGCCAATCTGTGCGCCGCTGGAGCGCGCCAGGGCAGCGACGTCGCCGCGTCGACGCCGCCCGATGCCCCGCGCCCATCGCAAGGCATGGCGATTAGGGCGTAGCCGAAGATCAAATTCCCTAGGTTGAGCGTAATGACACGGGACTGTTCCTTTCTCATGACCGCTTGCGCTTGTTCACCCGTGGGTAGTACCTTTTTAAAACTACGCCCCATAATTTTGACTGTCTGCTAGAGTGATGTAGAGCGTCTTGAAGGGAGCTACGTATTTACGATGCTTGCAGAATCTGCTGTTTTGAGACTTCTTGAGTGGAGATACTAATGTCGTGTTAGCTACAAGATTGGAATGTTTAAAGCTGCAACAATAGAAATTCCCTTTCGACAACGATTGCGAAGGCGGAACGAAAGACTGACTTTTTATAACTGACTGAGTACTCCTTTATATTCCTTTAAATGAAGCAGAAATTTATGAGAATAGTTTTTTTGTAGTTTCTTTCGGTATTAATTTGAAATGTATTCTCCATTGATGCCACAATCTTGTTGACAATAGTGTCTTACATTTTGCCATGAATTTGCGAAGAATTCCAGTAACGTCTCAGATATAGAGAAATGATCACGGAAGTGGGAATATTATGCAATGCTCATAATAAAATCAAGCATCTGTTAAAAGGTTTTCAGCGGTGATTGGAGATATGAATTTGAATGTTAAATCACCGTGAGTCTCGAACCATGTTATTAGTTTACATTCAAAAATAATTTAGAGGTGAGTGATCCCCGGGAAATTTTAATAAAAACTAAAATATTTGTGGCCAGTTTTCATTACTAAGAGGTGAACTAATTACACATAAATTGCAAGTAATCCTTACGTACTTACTATGTATTAATTTAATTCTTCTTATTACTATCATAATTATTTCCCTGATTCACGACTACGTTAGTAATGCTTTAATATTGATGTTCTTCCTTTTGTACCTCGCAGCATCCATCTACTGGATGTTGATGTCTCTACCATATTTTCCCACTATATGGTTTGTTTCAAAGATCGGTGTTATATACTTGCCAGTCTTTTGAATGATGTGGGAATTTGGACAAGCTCTTACCCAAATTTTGCGGCGCATGTCCCAGATTTCCGATGACTAAAGACCTGTGATTTTATGGCTCGAATGCGACCGGTCTGTCGTACGAGAGCCGCTACCTTTGCCCAAAAGTTACAAGACCAATGTTAATTACAGTGGTCGCTTTAAGACCTTAGTACTTGGATAAGTGACTTAAAATATGGAAATAATGACGGAAAAACGGGTTTCTTTACGGCTATTGTGCGGTCAGTTTGGATTTGTTGGTCGTACAGTATAGAACACAGTCCAACAGTCTCTGGATTTGATGAGTATTCGAATATCTTGGATGTGGTCTCACCAAAGTCAAGATGATCCTGAGTTGCTCCGAGTCAACCTTAGTCGATCCCTTTGTGTGTTTAACCTTGCAGTCCACTCGAATCAATGTGCGCTGAATTAGGCGTTACTCTCAGCTTGGTCGTTGCTACTTACTATTCGTCTCACTTCTTCAGTTTTCTGAACATATCTTAAGAAACTTAAGGTAGGTAGGGTTGTGCGTAATTGGAGGGTAGTGAATGTGGTTTGTTTACAGTCCGTTGTAAATGAACGATTTAACACAATGTGGTAAAGGGAATAATCTCCACAAAAGGTTTTGTGGAGATTACTTCCTTTACCATATTATGGATTACCACAAGATATCTGCTACCACCACGGAATTTATTGATTTAACACAAATTTAGGTTAGAATCGGTAATATGGTATATGTGGTTAGACGTGCCATTTTTGTATGTATGTATATTTATATATTTTTGTTTCCTACTACTTACAGAAAAATAGTCTTCGAGTTTGAATATTTGAGTTGCTGATTGGCGAATTATTACATTATTAATATCTGTTTAGATATTGAGTCGCAGGCATTTACGAAGTAGTATTTAAGTTTGGATTCATGTTGCATTATTTTCTTTTCGATTTTTTAATATCCGAAATTTTTTAATATTTGAAACTATTAAAGAAGTCACATGTTGTTTTACAGATGAATGTATTTGTATAATTTTAATACGTGGTAGGGTAAAATAACGTCTACTGAAATGATGTTCGATAAGTAGAAATGTGGAGGAAGTGGAAGAGGTTGAGCGCGTGGATGCAGTGTGGTGCCGACTGCAGGAGAGCCCGTGCGCCTTCGCCCGTTCCCACTCCACTCGCGTGGTTAAAAGTCTCTCGGAACTATTTGATTACGCACGCTAATGTTTTCTAAAGCTCGTGCCTCGTATTTATACAGGCCAACGCGGGCGCGGGCGGGACAAAGGGCGGTCCAGCGCGGGGCTGCAACGGAAGTGGCGGGCACGCCGCGTGAAGGGAGCGGGGAAGCGGCCGAGGAGAAAGAGAAAGAGAAAGAGAGAGTTGCTCGGCTCGGGGACTCCAATTACATTTGTTTGTTTTCCTGATTGAAACTTTAAAAAACATACAAGAGGATTACGCGCAAGCCTCTCTTACCGCGAGGATCCCGCCGCCCCTCTCCTCCAC